AAAAAACCCCAAAATTTGTTCTATTGTAAAGTGAAAAGTATTAATCGTAATGGATTTTCAAATCCACATTTGGTTAAGAATAAAAAGTTATCATGATAATGATTATTTTATCATTTTTATCGTTTTTCTTTTGGTACTAAATAAAACTTAAATATCCAATTTTTCTAATTAAATTTATCCTGATTACAATTATTAGTTTCTAATTTTTTTAGGACTGATGATTGCAATCCACCTTGCTTAAAGATTCAAAGAAAGCTTGTGAATTTATAAAAAGTAGTAATGATTCTCAATTAAGATTTAATTGATGTCCGACTTTTTAAAAATAGAATCGGAAAGTTCTGCGATGCTTTTTTTGTGGTTTTTATGCAGAGGATCGACTTTTTCTCCTTGTCTTAGGCGATAGAAGAGCTTCAAAAAAAAACAAAAATACTAGTGATGATTGTAAAAGTCAAAGGAAAAAAGACAACAATGTATGTGACTGAGATTTTCCTCGACAAATTAAAGGAGTTATGATTTCTTAGCAAACAATTTCTTCAGTTAGCCTGAGATTCTCCTCGGATAATTTCAAGAAATCCTGGAAATCCAATTAAAAAAATTGTTTATATTATTTGAAATCAGAAAACCTCCCAATTTAAAGCTTGTTTGGTTTTAGATTTACATAAAGTAGACTTACCAGACTTAAATAAAACAAAATGACACAATTAGATTAACAAATTTTTTCAAAAAAAATTTAAGCTGATCTTAGATTAAACATAAGTAATTGAAGAGTATAAGCTCAGAGATTACAAGGTCATTTAGTTGTGACGATTTTGGTGGGTCTATGAGAAAAGTCAAGACACAAAATTATCCTTCATGAAAATGGAAAAATGACAATGGATTCGTCACAGAAATTGAAATCAATCACTTAAAAATTTCTTTAGAATTACAGCTCAAAAGTGTAACAAAATCTGTCTTTGTTAGCGCTTTCCGAAATAGGGTTGAATAAAAAATTTTTGAAAGTTGTTTTCAAACCAGAAATGTATTAAGATTTAATTACATCCAGTAGAGAAAGGAAAAGATGAGGAGTAGGGCTTCATGTCAAAAAGGGATTAATTACGATGTGGTTAGAAAAACTGAAACTGATCATTATCAGATATTAACAAACCAGTCAAGATTTGAATGAAACTCTAAAAAAGGGTGGACATTCCTAACCGTTTTGTACGGGAGCCCAAATGGTAAAAGAGACGGATTCTTCGGAACTTTAGCTATGAAATTTCTAGCCTTAAGTCCTGAACCAACTGACAAAAATAGATTTTTGGAAATTTCAACATCGATATATGTAAAAACAAAAAAAACCTTGTGAATTTATTCAATTACTTTGGGTTGTTGTAACCCCGGAGCCTATGATTACTGGTGGAACAAAAAGTTCAGGTTTATTTATATACTTAGTCCTCGCAAACTATCAAACAACAGCATCAAGTTACAAATCTGCAGTAAAAGCCCACAGCACAATAAGTGTTCGCTGTGGAAAGAAACTAGGAAAGAATCAGATTTTTTGATTACAGGAACACCATTTTACGAAAAATGAAAAACTCTAAGTCAAACGGAAAAAAGTAGTTTTTGCTATTTTGACTGCTAAATGATTTGCCTTCAAACGAAAATAGTTTTAAATCTTTGGAAAGAACTCAAGCTATTTCATGCTGATGAATCGAAAAGCTCAGAACAAAAATTAAACACAGGAATTTTAAATCATGGAAAATTAAGATACCAAAACAGAAGCTAATACAAACAAAAATCGTTCCTAGAACTGAAAACTGAACCAAATCATAAAATTTGGCGAGCTGATAGAAAGCAACGAAATAAAGTCAAATCCTTAAATGTATCACAATAACGTCCTTTTTCGCAAAACCAGATAACAGATATAAGCAGAGAAATAGCAAAAACAAATTTTACAAAATGAAAGCATTGAGAAGATAAGCTCTAAAACAGTCAGTTGAGCCGTCCAATCTATCTGCAAACCAATTGAACAAATTTTTTACAACCATAGGAGAAAAAGGAGAAATTGAGCAATGATCCTAAACGTTAGTGTAAAAATAGTGAAATTATTTCAACATGCGATAAGACAAAATGGCTGTCGCATACAAATTTCAGCAAAGTGTTGGTTAAAATTTCAAATCTATAAAACAAAAATATCAAGAGATTCTTTGGCGTTAATAGTTTTTCGATGTGATCCTTGGAAGCTCTACGGGTACCTTTTTTTTGACGCCGTTTACCGAGAGCGCTATTTCGGAAAACGTTTTCCCAGCTTGTCTTAAAACTGCTGGAAAAACAAGGGTTAAATCAGATTGCACTAATCATCGCTCCGTAACATTGTTGCCAAATTTCAGCAAAATTTTTGAAAAAAAAATCAAAAAACATTTGATTGTTTTGCTGGTAAAGAACAAATTATTGTCAAACGTGCAAAACGCTTATTGGAAAAACCAAACTAATATGCATTTGCTTATTAGTCTAGTGCAAGAGAAATAAATAGAAAAAAAACAGGCACACAGTGTCCTCATTGACTTAACAAAAGCGTTTGACACAATTCCACCCAAGTTGTTATTATAAAAGTGTTTCAACCATGGATTATGGGGATGAATGCATAAGTTACTTCAATCATACCAAAGTGAAAAATAGCAGGATGAATTTTTCTGCAACAGGCAATCAGATCTGAAACCGATATCATATGGAGTGCACAATGATCTTTGGTCGGCCCCATACTTTTCTGAGTCTATGTTAACGATATTTTTGATCAAATCAAACACTTGAAAAAAAAACTTTTTTTTCAATGACACTGAAACAGTAAACCTTAGAAAGGAATCCCCTTCTAATTTGAGTCAAGATTTAAATCGACAACTTACGATTGAAACTGATAAGAAATCGTGGTAAAACAAAAAATGTTATTTTTTGCGGAGACAAAATTACAATTAGCAACGCCAGCTATGAAAATAAAAAGTAAGACCAAGATTTTTCGTATATTTAATGTGGCTTGCTTATTCGTAGCAACTTAAATTTCGAAGAGCATGTTAACATATTGAGAAAAAGTTAGCTGAAAGCCCTGTTATTCTGTATACACTGAGGAAATATTTGACCGGGAATTTTACAACACAAACAATAGGCCTGTTTTCCAATATGGAGCAATTAGATACTTCAATTATATAATTCATCTCAAACAGCTAATTAGCCTTTTAGCAGAAATATTACAAGGTGACCCACATTATGTGGATTTGAGGTGAGCAAATAACAGAAACTGAATTAAAAACGTCACTTTATGGAGAAAACAGAATAAGAGTCCTCAAAACAGAAGTGACAAAAGCAAAAGAATAGTTGAAATGCCTGAAAAACAGAAAAAGAGTGTTGCTTAATGCAATTATTAAATTTGAAGAAAACAATTCAAAATCTTGTTGATGAAATGAGAAACAGCTCCAGGTGTATCTTCAAAATCTCTCATTTAATATCTTGTTCGATAACGTATTTTCTGAAATCCTATTTTGGTAGTTGAGGGAATGAAAGTTCATACTTTTAAGGTACCTAGTTAAAATATAGCTGATATATTGGTAGTAAAGTTTCTTTCTGTTTTTCTTTCTTTTCAGATTAGCCGTTAGTATTATGGGTAGAACATTGTTTTGTGGAGCCCAATTATTTCTTCTAACTTTTTTTCATCTGTCTACAATGTTTGAATGAAGCTATTGCGTGCTTTTCTTAATATATCGTTTTCATTGCTGAAAATTATTGCTCTCTTTAAGATGATTAGAAGTAGGTCGCAAGACCTGATTTTATCCTACAATTTGTTTCAAGTTACTACTTAAACGAGTAAATACTATTGTTTGTCAGTTTCGCCCCCGCAGTTTGGATAGTAAGACTTACCAACGTTCAACTCTTTAACAGCATTAGCTTTTAATTAGGGTTGAATTAGCTTTTTGTGCGTTTTTGGTTTTTGTATTTACGTTAGAGGTCCCAGTAAGAGACTATGCTTAATGATTATACTCTAGGACAATTGGCATAACAGTCAAACTTATGACGACTTTAACTCTACTTGTCTCATACTTTCGGGGTCTGCTAGTCTCGAAATTAAACATTTTTTTAGGAGACTCGGCTTCAGCTTTATTTTAATTTCCAAAAGCGAAATCTCCCAAAAAAGTCTCTGCAGACTCTCTTTGATTCTGATCAGCCGGTAATTTGTTGTTTTTTAGCACCAAGCACACGCTCACTGAGTCTGCAGTAGTTTTGTATTATTTCGATATGCTAAACATCATTTCGTTTACGTTGGTTGGTAAGCCAGACTTTTCAGTTTCATGCCAGCTTGCATTCCTCAGTTAGTAACCTAAAGGATACTGATTGATAAAAAAAGTACTTCCTCTGAAGTGTTTTTGAATTTACTTCTACTGCAGCCTTATTGACCTTTTTTGTCTTAGCGTGTTGTACCTATAAAAGCTAGCTTCCTCGGGTTTCGAATGCTCGAACGAACTGTTTTTATTCAATCGGTTTTGTACTCGTCTGCACATCACTGAATCGGTGCAAAGTAAGGGCTTTATTAGGATTTTTTTGGAGAACAACACAATAATTGCTTCAAAAGTAGTCCGTATATAACATCACTGAGAAAAAAACGACATAAAACAAAATATACCATTTAAGATAACTCAATAACTTTTTCAATGAGTTTACATGTTCCCATTTTGGACAGCAAAAAAGAAGAATTAGGTCTTCTTTAGTTCAGCTGCAAAAGGTCAAGTAAAGTTGTGTATTAACTATCACTAAGTTTCAACTAAGTGTTTTAACTAAGAAGATTTCTCTCTTCTTAGCTTAGGTGATTTCCCACAGAATTGAACAGTTAGGATGTTGGTCCTTTCCCTCGAGGATTATCCCCTTATTTTCTATTATCTCAAAGGTTACTATTTTTCAAACCAACCTAAATAATCTGCCAAAACATCTACTGCAGTCATCTTATTGATATATTGAAACAAATTTTTAATAAATTTTTTTTTTCAATGTAAACATCTGGTACGGTAGCTAAATAGTCCGGAAAGCCAAAAACAGTTCCAGTCAAAAACAAAGCTAGTAAAAGCTTAAGCGTGCTCCTTTTCTTTCAATTCTCTTTCCTCACTTGAAATTACTAACACACGGCCAAATGTTCAGAAGGCTGCGTTTTACCCCTTCAGTTTTTGCTGACGCATTCATAAAAGAAATGGCTCAAAAAGGTAAGAAAATGTGAAAATATAATGTTAACTCTACAAAAAGAATACTATTGGTCTAACTTTCCCTTTTAATAAGCACTACTCCTCTCACCCTCCCCCTCCCCCCATCCTCAAGATTTACAATTTTAAAAACTTGTCGAATTCAAAACAAAAACTGTTATTTTACAAAACAAAATATAGTTTTCTTCACTGCGAGTGGTTTTTGCTTTTGGAATTAAAATACTAGATGGTGAAATTCAATAATTTTTATTGGATTACAAAAAACTAGATGCGAAGCTATTACTGGGTCAGATATTTTTTGAAAGTGGGGTTTCAAGAGTTGGACTTGCATTCAGTACTATTATACATTTCTGCTGTGTTTTCTAGGTTTTCTACTGACAGCATGTGATCTTTTCTTTTCGTTGAAAACTTTTATGCTGTTGATTTTGTTCTTGAAATTGAAACATTGTCACTTTTAAGCTATCTTGCTTGGCGATTACCTATAGACAATCATACCAGGGGCGAATTTAGGGGGGGGGGGGGGGGGGGGGTCCCCCTTTGGTACTTTTCAGAAATCCAGTTTTGGCCGACCAACCCTAAAATTTTTCTAAAGGCGCCTTTGGCGCCAATATATACTAAATTTAGGGGGGAGCGCGCGCCGAAAAAACGCGATTTTTTTGGTCAAAATTTTCCAAAAAGTACCTTAAAATGCCTTTTTTGGACTGTTTTTTCAAAATTTTGCCTGCGGCGCAGAAAATTTGGCCAAAACAGGGACTAAACAGGCTAAGGGAGAGAAAATTTTCGAAATTTCGAAATTTTTTTGAAAATCCCCCCCCCCCCCCCCCCCCTCGAGAAAAAAATCTTAGATCCGCCCCTGCATCATACAATACAAATTTTTCAGTCCGAAGACCCTCATACACTACAAATATATCAGTCCGAAGAACTAATTACTATTAAATTTGTTTAACACGTAGTACTCATCGTATGGTTCTACTTAAACAATCTTAATCTATAGAGAAGGCAAGTTTTTCAAAAGTCTAATGATCCAAAACCATTTTTTTGTTTTTCTTCATTTCATGATCCTGCAACTATTTGAAATGCAATTTTTGCTTTTGTTTCTGTAATAGGCATGAAGATGTCGCATAAATTGTATACACCAATCGAGTTCACTTGTTGTGTAGTTTTCTTGCATGAGCCAAAAAGATGATGTAATTTTTCGAACTTTTCATCGCATAGGCAACATAATGGTTGATTGTTATACCAATTTTTCACACAAATTCTTTATCGCGATATCAATTACGTGAATTCGATAGAGAGTATTCTTTTCAAAGCAATTTAGTTACCTATTTTTCCGTGTTCATTCGACTTCACCCTCTAAATATTGTTAGTCAGCGTTAAACTTTTCGCAGCAAAATGTCTGAGCATAAATACTGAGTGCATGAACTTTTTGGATAGAGCGGAAGTTCTACTTGAGCTTTTTGGGTAAATACTTACATCAGTTTTGACCGAGAACAGTCGGAGATGAGATAAAACTCGATATTTTGAAGTACGTTATGAATTAAATTTATGTTGTTTTCGAATCCAGTACTTCTCTAAAAAATATATACGACTTAGGTTTACACATTTAAAAAATCTCTAAAAAATATTTTGTTCAGCATCAAGAAGCAAGAACTAGGCATTTTGATTAGAAATTTCTGAGGTTAAATAAAATTTCCAATGAGTAAAGCGATCCGATCGAATTACGTTCGTAAACAAGAAATTAGGCCAAAACAATTTCATTTTACTGAAAACAAGACTACTTTTGGTAGCTTCACCTAGCGGTTTCTTGGCAATAACAGTTTTCTAAGAAAAAATGTACAAACTATTGCGTATTGTGCAAAAAATTTAGAAACACTTTTGAAAATTTTTTCTTGATTGTTTTTTTCATTTCCTGTTGTTTGTTCATTTTTTTGACAAATGTCAATTTAGTCAAATTCACTAACTTATACGCATTTGCATAGTTCTCTCGTCACACCACGCACTTACAACTCTAATTTTGAAGTAAAAATAGGGGAAAAAACTTTTTTGGTAATAGCTTTATGAATGTGGTCGGAACATTCTGTGCTACTTGCTCACCAACAAGCTGCCCTTGTTCTTTAAAAACCTTTATATAAATCTTCAGAAAGCATAAAGTGTACGTTTGGTATTCATGCAAATAAATAACCCAAACTGTAGGCTTTCGGAGCAGGAGTTTCGCATTGCTGATGGGGATTTTCTTCGTCCTATGGATGATCCTGAATATCACAACCTCAGAAAACGTCCAGCTAGCGCTATACTCTCCAAAGTAAGTGTACTTTCCTGCCATCCTTCCATACTTACCCTCCTCCCGTCTAAAACTTGCCTCCCCTTCCCTTAGGTGTTCAATCTGATAGATTCTGATTGCACCCTTTGATTAAGCACAAAACTTTGAAACTGAACGCGTGAGGGAGATTTTCAAAAATAGAAAAACTTTTTTTTGCCGTTAAACAAATTTTCACAACATGACATTGAAATTTTGATTGAGAAAAGTTTTTAATTTTGCAGAAATACAAGTTTTTTTGCAAATTATGCTTTTATATGTTTAAATTGCAAAAACTCAAATCTCAAATCTCAAACTGAAGGAGCCACGACAGCTGAAAACAAATGGCAAGTGAGGGAATTGGATCTTTTCGCTTAAACCCGCCTCCTAAATTAAGAAAAATTTAAATGAATATTTAGAAAGAAACAAAAAACGAACTGAATGGCAATAAAAAAATGGGTCTCATGTTTGTAATATCATTGCAAAAAAAAACAAGAAAAAAATAGGCAATTTTTCGTTTGATCATTTGAGGCTAAATTATATAAAAAGGGTTCATTTTGGCCTGTCCCATATGAATATTCTGACTTTCTGACTTTCTCGATATCAGCCCAATTTTTTAATGAAGAAACATTATTTTTAATTTTGCATTTTTTATTTAGGGGGAGGGAGGGGGATGGGCATAATTGAAAAGACCCAGAGAACTTTTGAAAATGTGAAAATATGATGGAGTTGTCCGGAGATTTTATACCATTTAAAAAAATTCTAGTCTATTTTTGAAATTCACAGAGTTCAGATTTCTTGTTAAATTGCATGACTCAACTCTTGCAGGACTAAGCTTTAAGCAGATAGTCTCTTTTTATAATCTTCACTTGAGCAATTTTAGATTAATTGCGTCAGCCCTGCTCGGAAATGAATTGGATTTAACTAGTAAGTGTCAGTTGATGAAGAAGAATCACTACTTCTGCATCGGAACCTCCGATATCTGCGGACCCATGGACGAATACACCTCCCGAGGAAAACCGAACGACGGCGAACTGTGCCGGAAACTGAACGAAATGGGTTCGGATAAGTGCAGTCGGCATAATTACCCTGATTACTATCATTATTTTTTTAAGAAGATATCAAACAGGAAATTGAACATCCTCGAAATTGGTCTCGGATCACAAGTCGATCCCCGCTTCAAGTCTCAAATGAAAAAAAACTTCACAATCGGCGGATCTCAAAGAGTCTGGCGCGACTACTTCACGAACTCACAAATCTTCGGCGCGGATGTCAACCCAGATATAATTTTCGAAGAAGAACGACTGAAAACGTTTCATGTCGACATTACAAAAAACGAGACTCTAAATGCGATGTTTGATAAAATTGGCGTTCAGTTGGATATTTTGATTGACGACTCTTTACACGAACCTGGACCACAAGAGAATCTTCTCTCAGTCGCATTTGAAAAAATCAAACCAGGCGGTTTCTACATCGTTGAAGATGTTAGCTCTGAAACTTTCTGTGACAAGGCTTTGCAGTCATATTTGAGACGAGGCTTCAAAAGTTTTGCGTTTATTCGCACAAACAAGATATATGACAGTGTTCTGTCGATTATAAAGAAACCATAACAATATCAATAAAAAAATTGCACTTTTGTTGAACTTTGTAATCTGTAGTTGTAAGAACAATTTCGCAGTTATATTTCACTGTAATAAAAATCATATCATAATTTAAACAATGAGGAGGTGCAATTTAAGCATTTTATACTGTTCAATTGCGATTTTCATCTCAATTTCATGCCAAAATTCAGTACTCTAAAATACTTTGTTTTGAACAGCTGCAACCAATTTTTTAGTTTTTTACAGGATCGGGTTCATGGCCAGTAGCGTGCCAACTGGTTCTAAACAACAACCTTTCAGAAAATGCTCAAAATACATACGTAAAAAATGCATACGGCGCAGAAACATTTGCCAAATATGCAGTCTGTTTGAAAAATAGGTCAAAATAGGGAAAACCCTCTCGAGAAAATCCGCCCCTGGGTTGACCTGAGGAAAAAATGACAAAATGTCAAAAAAATTGCCTCGTCCTTGTCAAAAAAACCTCTGCTCACACCTTTTGTCATATCGATAAATATGTCGTATTACTAGTTTATGATAATATGGCATTCATATACAAATCAAAAATGTAGATTAAGTTTTAATTGATTGCTTATTGAATGTTAAATTTCCCTTTTGCCTAACTTGAGTTCAAAACACAGGATGTTCAAGGTGTGACATTTGGATAGCAGGACAATGTACCGTATTCAAATTTACTCTGCGGTATTCGCGCTCCAGTGCAAACTGAGATTTTTTAAATAAAAACAACGATAATATTAAGCTTCCAAACTCTTTGCAATTTTGAAACGCGTTTTTGTTTTGTGGTTACCTATTGTGGTAAGATTGGCCGGTTGCTGTAAAAGTTTTTTTAAATTTGGGTTCTTTGCTGTTCGTAGTGTGCCAGGATTATCTGAAAGAAAGCTTTGAGATTGAACATAACCAGGGAATTAGGTATATTTGCCAAAAGTATATTTGAAAACAGAAGAAGTCTTTTTTACTTCAAAGAACGCCGTGTAAGAACTTCAAAAAGTGATTTTAATCGATAAAATTTGTTTTGACGTCTTAGCTCTAATTATACGCCTACTATTTTAAACTAATTATCAGCCTGCTTGCTCGCTCAATTCACCTCCAAATTGGACTAAAAAATCAAAAATTTGAACCGGTTTTTCTTGGAACTGAGTGCACCTCTTGGAATTTTTTTAAACATGACTGAAAAGGCTTTCCTATGATTTATCGCTCGACCTATTCCAGTTATTACTTATAATATTCGTTTTTGCGTAAGGAAGAAAGCTCGAAAATTTCTATAGCATACTCGAAGACAAAGTTTCTTCCCATTTCCAGTGGTCGAATTAAAACTCAAAAGCAAAATCAGAGCTGATCAAATAATCGATCTCGTTATCTGTTTTTTTTTTTGTCTGAGTTGTAACTGGGCTACTTGTATCAGAACAAAATCTTG